AATAGAAAAAACCGGATTCAAAACAAGGACTCTGTGTACGAGAATGCAAAGGTTTTTTGGAAAGGTTTAATAATAGTTAACATGATAAACGATGATCTCTTTATAACAATAATCCGGTATATATCTTTAAATAAATTTCTAGATTGCTGTTGCACTATCTGGCGTAGTGCTGATAAGGAATCTGAGTTGCATCGGTAATAATTCGCGGATTTGTGCTCTCGCGCGGGTTTCCCTATTTCTTCCCGCTTGGCGCTTTCTATATATAGATATAGATAGAATTATACTTTATTTCAAAAGCAATAAGCTTGGTTTCGAAAGATGTAGATAATTTTTTCTTCTAGTAACTCAGTGTTATGTGAGGATACTAATCAGTAATCATACTATGGGTTCCTCACAAAATAATCACTATATAGTATATATACCTAAACAAATTATTTAGGCACTTAAACACCAAAATGCATTTATGCACTAGTCAATTGAAACCCTGACCCCCGGGACAGAGCGGGGAAATTAACATTTTGACTGAATGTTAAATTTTGGTAATTTCCCCGCTACCGGGGGAATATTGACTGTTAAAGTTACCGCCCCTATGGCTGAAATCCTTGAAGTATAAAATGTTCACAAGATGTGAAAGCAATTCTTGATCTTAAACTTTGATCCGCATCAAAAGATACTGAATAATCTACGTTTCGACTATCTTGCAGTCATCATTAAGAAAAACTGTGAGGAAACAATGATAAAACGGACAAAAGTTTATAAATGCCACGAAGATAAACTCGTTCCAGTCCACTTTCATATCAGCCGCGCGTTAAACTTCAGTGTTATTTACCCTGTACCCCGGGGGAAATGGTGCATTAAACCCACGTTAATACACGGCCATTCCCCCGTTAATTCCCCGCCCTGTCCCGGGGGTCTGAGTTTCAATTGACCAGTGCATTATGCATACTTCCGCGAGTAGCTAATTAAATTTATGCTAGACCTAAATTAATAACTAAATTCTGTCTAAGTTTCTCAGAAGTCAAGAATGACTTGTCTGGAAACCATCTCGTTACACGATTGTATAGTTACACGATTGCCGAAACCATAGCAGACAACGTGTAAGACTCAATACTGACAACGAAGTTTGACAATAAATCAAGTTATTTTAAGAATCAGCATGCTACCCACTACTTGTAGAAGTATGCATAAATGAGCCGCGGTTGTATGCAAGACACTTCGGGCAATTGGTGAACGCATTGCATGACGAGAGAGTCCCAATATCAAATTTATGCCAATCCACACAACGCCAGTTTCACTGTCGGCATTATTAGGCCGCGGGTGCTGCGACCGACCTTTTTTTGCTTCCACTTAACTAAGATTGTTTTCATTGTGATGTGTGTTCTTCTCTTTTTTATTAGGAATAATTGTCGTGTTTATGAACTAAACTTAACGAAATTGAGAAAATAAAGTGTTTCCAGTAGCGTCTTGCCCAAATATTCGAGACCATGTTATAATATCAAATTTATGTCCATTCGCACAACAACGCTTGAATTACTTCACAGTCGGTATTTAGACGCGGTTACCGCAACACCGTCATTGCCTTCAGCATGTGATTTGCTTTTCCGGCGCTCTTTTTGATTGGTTGAGGACTTGAGGTTACTTTGCTAACTGAACGGAAATACTTTTTACTGAGTCACTAGAAGAAAAAATGATCTGCATCTTTCGAAACCAAGCTTATCATCGTTTATCATTTTAACTATTACTAAACCTTTCCAAAAAACCTTTGTATTCTTGTACACAGAGTCCTTGTTTCGAATCCGGGTTTTTTCTATTTCGAGTCCGGGTTTTCAAAAGTCAAGTCCGGGTTTTTTTAAACACGAGTCCGGATTTTTTCCGAGTTGGGGTCCGTGTTTTTCTCGAGTCCGGATTTTCTTAGAGATCGAGTTTCGAAGTATGCCCTATGTCAGGGATAAAGGACGGCTTTTATATAACCATCAATTATGGTTTGACCGAGTTATGTGTGGTCGACAATGCGGACAATCTCGATTTTTGGATGTCGGATGTCTCATGACTCAAACTCGCGAACATCTCAATTCGGTACTCTCCAAATACCCTGTTTGAAACTCGCGAACATCTCAACTGCTATGGCATTTAACGCATTTTATAAAGTATTGCTGCAAGGTATAGTCTGCTGCAAATATGAAATATCTGAGTCTTTAGAAATATAAGTAAACGCACAACACGCCATTTTCACGTCGTCTTTGACGTCCGCGTCCTCGGTCTAAATCTGACTCAATTGATTTCCCAAGTTGTAATACTGTTTGCGTTGATAGTCAAGTAAAACCCAACATACACTTTACACAAATATATATGCCTATTTGCTATTCAATGACTCTCTCTGCAGCGGAATAAATTGCGTGTCATATGATGTGTAATGTGCATGCAATCTGTTGTTACTGACATCAGCACAACTTCATCGTCGAAAATTCCTATCATGAAATAGGCAATTCCAGCTTTTAATTTATGCGCGCAGGGGAGGATGGGAAGTAAGGTATCATATTGCTGATTATGCTGAAAAAATAAAAATGACGGCCGTGTAAACATGCACGAAGTGATAGCTTATACTTGTAAATATTGAAATTTTTCGGTTGTTTCGGTAGTTTTTATTGAAACTTCATCGCCGAAAGCCTCGATTTTTCCGAAGATAATGAAAAAATGCCCGAGGTGAAAGCGCGATATCTCAGCAGTATAAATATTTGCGTCAGAGAAGTCACTCAGAGATGTTGCTTTGAAAATATTTTGACAGTAAAAATGACACATACAGTCAGCATAAATATCCTAACTCATTTACATTAAGAATGATTTCACCTTATGTTTATACTACGACGGATGATACGTTTCTAGTATAAATTTAACCATAGAGGTTTTTTGACTTCCACTAGACTTTCGCAAAGTCGACTTCGTCGCTCCGCATACGAGGTCGACTTGTAGCAAGTCTAGACTTCCACTACCTCTAACTGGCTTAGTACGCATCTGATTGTTTAATCAAATATATCAAACGCATGATGATGATGATGATGATGATGATGATGATTTTATTGATCCATCTTTAGTTTAAAAATACAATGGATTTACAAATATGTCTATTAAAAGAGAAGAGCATAACTAAGCATGCAATAATATTTACAAACTATCTAAAATTTATATATATACAATTTGGAGTAAAAAATTTATAAGTCTAGGAAATTATTTAAAAAGTTAATAAAAACCAAGTTTGGTTTTAGTGCAACCTCTGTCTCATTGCTCGTGGGACAAAACTATTTCTGTGTCGTTCAGTGCCTGAGAAAGGTGCGTATTTAAATATACTCCTCCTTTGCACACGTTCCAATTCGTCCTTTAGATATCGTGGCAGACCAGCCCACACTGGAGAACAATATTCAAGGATAGGCCTGATTTTAGTTAAATAAGTGGTGAGACCCACTTCGACTGGTAGATTCGCTCTTCTACATTCTCGTAGGCAGTACAGGGTTTTAGCTGCTTTGCGGGTGGTCTCCTCGACATGTTTATTCCATTTCAGGTCCTTTTGAAACCAGGTTCCCAAGAGTTTAAAATTATCGACTCTTTCTATGATAGCACCTCCTATATGCAGTGGTAGAAGGGGCGGTGCTTCGGTGAAGTTAATCCACATATCTTTTGTTTTTTTGGCATTCAGTTCCATTTTATTTTCCACAGCCCAACTTTGTACTGAGTCCAGAGCGCTTTGCAAATCGCTAGATTCTCCTAATCTTATGGACGTATCCATGGTGCAATCGTCCGCATATTTGATTGTGTTGACACATGCCTGTTCAGAAACATTTTCCTCCGTATGTTGAATACGGTCGGCGAGATAGCAGATCCCTGAGGGACGCCGGCTGGGCATGATGCAGTAAAGGATAGTACACCTTGGAGATTTACCTGTTGTGTTCTTCCCTCCAGAAAACTCATTATCCATAACCAGAAACTCCTTGTTACATTCATATCAGCAAGCTTGTCCAGAAGGATCTTATGGTCGACCAAGTCAAACGCCTTCCGGAAATCAACAAATAGGGGTGGACACCTTGTCTACCGGTTGAGGAGTTGTCCGTTGAGTCGAACCAGTTCTGAGATATGGAGGTAAGGGCAGACACGGTGGAGTGACCGCTCGTAAAGGCGTGCTGGTTTGTTTTGATCTTGAAACTGGATTTATTGAGTTGCAGCTGTAGCTTCTCGATAACTTTTGCTAGTTGTGGTAGCACGGAAACTTGGCGGAAGTCATTATCTAGGTCTGTGGGTGGACGGATCTTTGGTACGGGACTAATGATTGCATGCTTGTAGGAGGTGGGATATTTGCATTGAACTATGCTTGCAACCACAATATCGTGGACCACTGGTGCTAATTCTTCTGCGTACCGTTTAAGACACCATGCAGGGATATTATCCGACCCAGTGGCTTTCCTAGGATTTACGTGTTTTAGGACGGTTTTGACTTGGCCAATGGATGGTAGAGGTGGGTGGCTGTCCTTGAGCAAATGCTCTACCGCTTGAAGTCTGGGAAGATCTGGTTGAATTCCTAGCCAAGGCTTAGTAAAACTTCTTTGTAGTCTGTCAGCGATTTCCATTAGGTCAGCGTGGTCAGGCGAGGACAGAGATTGTTGATTTTCGGTTACTGCCGCTAGCTTGTAAATCGTTTTATACCATTTGGCGGGATTGGATTGATGGTTGCCTTCAGCCTTGGATTTGTAGTACGTAGCTTTAGCGTTGGATATCAGCTTGGTAACTTTTGCATGTAAACTTTTATACTTCGGTGTCTCCCCTTTCGTAAATGCTCTCTGTCTTGCTTTTATCAACGCTTTAATATTGGGG